ATTAACGTGAGGCTTACATACAATTAAGAGTGTAGATAGTTCTTCACCCATTTCCCAAGATACCCAATGATAAGGAAACTGATCTGACAGTTAGTAAGTGAGTTATCTCTGCCTGCTGTGAGACCAGGCTAAGCCTTCCCCAGGAGTAAACAGGTTAGCTTTCGTTTAGCATGACTGATAATGGTCATTACGTTAGCTTCTGGAGCACATCTGGCTCATCATGAAGGCAGAGCAAAGAGTGTCAGAGCGAGACCCTTGCCTTGAGACAGGTTTGTCATGAGACTACAGCTTTAATGATGATATTACAATGTAAGATGTCTTCTCATCTTAACATTTTATGTTATAGTAACCTATGAAATGACAAAGATTCATGATTCATATAAATTAGATTAGTTCAAAATACATTTTAGTGAGTAGTGATTGACACAAGACAACAGCAATTAATCATGGTAGTGCAATAATGGTTTTGTGGTGACTGACCTGAAAATCTGCCTTCAAGAGATAGCATTACAATTATCATCTGAACTCAGTGTCTTCTTTCATAGAGACAAAGCACATTATCTTAATAATTTCTTTTAATTTCTGTTTCACAGAGAATACAGTAAAGCAATGGCAAACTAGCTTTCATCTTTCACAGAAACCAAAACAAGGAAAACAATCCTTATCAATTTGACAATATCTCATTAATGACCTGTTTTCTCCATTGCAAATTTTGTTTCACTTTGCTAGTGCTTTCCAACTCCAGACATTTAATACTGATTTTTTTTTCTATTTAATGTTATTTAATGTCAGTTTATCTGAATCATTTGCTTTATATTATTTTATTATTTGCTTTATATTATTTATATTACATTGCATATATTCTTCCAAAAGAAAAGAATGCTACTGATGTGTTTTAACATTACTACAGCATGAAAGAAATACACTATACTCCATACCAACAAAAACAGAGGACCTCAGTTACTGACATAATACATAATGCTTATTTCGCTTCCTGCTGTGAATTTTTAAATTTTTGCTACGTTATAGCCCATTTTGCCATCTAGTTGAAAATCAATGAAGAGGGAAAAGGCAAGTTCTATCTATAGAGAACCCCAACACTTTTTATGAGAACCAAATTTAGCTCAGTCCCTGTGATGTCCTATAAAGGGCAAGGCAATATCTAGATTTTAAGAACAGAATGTTCTTACTTCTGCTGTTAGTACATGTCTGTCTGGTCTTGAAGTACAAGTTAGTGAGACTGTGTTTCTGTAAACTAAAAGTGTATTATCAACGTGTATGTCATGCATTGGATGATGGTCTTTCATCTGCAACAATTGCAAGTACTCTATAAAAATTTCATGAGTGTATAATCTCCAAACAAGAAAACAGTTCTTAGATCTTATCACAATAATATTATTCAACTTAATATTTTGTGACATCAGGATGTCTCTGACAAAAGAAAAAAATGCAAGTCTTGTTAAGGTCCAGAAAGGCCAGTTGTAATGACTGTCAGTTGAAGTCAAAAGATGTCACCACAATTTACAATTACAGCAAGCATAATATTTCAGTCTGTGTATTCAATTAAATATATGCTGAAATTACAGATTAAAAATAATTGGGGAAAAAAAAAATATCTGGTTGATGTTTCAATAAGGACCAGTCTAGTCTATTGTCTGAATGTTCTGACAATAAAAAATATATAATGCCCGTTACACATGTGCATAGGAGCCCTGAAAAGGCTCTCCTCCTGCAACATTACTCACTGGAGGAAAAATAAGTGTTCTCCAACTCCGTAAGCAAAATTTATTCTGCCTGTGGCAAGTAAGCCAGTCAGAAAGCCAGTTCCACTATCCATCTCTGGTCTTTCCTGCTGGCCCGTTAGAGCAATAAGAGACAAGCAGCAGGGTCAGCAGGGTCAGAAGTTGGCTCTGATTGATGGTGCTCAGGGACTATCATGCCCAGGTAGCAAACCCTGTAAAAGGGATACAAGCGCTTCATGGAGGGAGGGATGATGTGAATCACAGGGCAGAGTTTGGTTGTGACTGGAGTGATGACTTCAGTTAATTCTCTGAAGTGTAAGAAAAGGTGACAGAGTGTGAGGAATGTTGAGAAGAGGGCAAGTAGCAGGAAGGTGCCCCTCTTCCACATCTGCTCAAAGTAGAACATAGGCAATGACCAGCAGGCTCCTTATCTTGTCCACCACTGCAATCATATGATTAACTGCTTGATTATATGCACATAGTCCAGTAAACTCTGAAACCAGTCGATATTCTTATTTTAAAGTGTGTAATACTGAAAGTCACTGCAGCTTACACAAGTTCACTCTAAAACTGCACAAGCAGAACACAGTAATCTTTAATGTTTGATAAATATGCAGAAAGATTGGACTTAGTCCCTATGCCATAGTATCGTGACAAAACTTATAAAACACTGCTGTTCTCAGAAAACAAATCTGTCTGCACAGTGAAACTTGCGGGATAAACTGAAGTTCCTTTTCATTTTAGCTATTATTCTAATAATTTCCATCAGAAGTGCTGATGCCTTAGGAGTCTCCACTCTATGCTATGCCATGGCATATGTAGTTATATATCATACATACATACATATATATACATATACATATAGAGCATATATATATACATATACATTGTAGAGCTTAGGGATATGGTTTAGTGGGGACTATTTGTGTTAGGTTAGAGGTTGGACTCGATGATCTTGAGGTCTCTTCCAACCTAGAAATTCTGTGATTCTGTGATTTGTCATACTATGTTTCCATAGTCAATCAAAGGAAAACAGGGAAGTTTTCTACTTCTGCTGATTTTCTAGCTAACACAAGCAGAGCTATCTGATCTAACTTGGCATACATCTGCTGGCCCAAAGAAAGGTGGTATCTTTTTACAAAAATGCATGAAAATCTATGGCACTTCTCCAGTCTGATTACAAGCATTTTGCAAGGAAGATAAACTTAAGTTTGATTTGGGACTGCACACAGAAAAAAATATACCTACCTACAGTAATACCTGCATGTTTTTACTCATGGCACCTGCTTATCTTGGTGAGAGAGACGCAGACATGGGTCAGGGTCTTTTGTGTCATAGGCATGTAACCATCTTACTATGAGGCTCTAAATCTATTTTGATCTAAACCATGCATCTCTCTGTTAGGACCAAATCATCAATCAACTTCCATGAAGCAACTGTGGATTATTTTTGTTTGCTTGAAAAAAATAAATAAATAAAATTTCAGTTGGGGCATAAAATGAGGTAAGAACAGGCCTAGTTATTTCTTTTTGTGTGATTACACAATTAATGATTTTAATTGTGAATTTAAAACTTGATCCTAAAAATATTTATTAATTTATTTTAAACAGAAAGAACAGGTCACCCTATTAGTTCAAGTGGTGACTTTTTTTTAAACTTTATTTATTCAAACTTTAGTGGTTATTCCACTCCTTAGTGCATTTCAACACCTTTCTAAAAGCAGTTGTACTAGAAATTGTATTACCTTAAATTCAGGCTTATAACCTTATGATTTTGCTCCAAAGGATATGCTATTATGTTCATGCCAAAGTTAGAGTTCTTTTGTGGGTGGAAGTCAGTGGAGTACTATGAAAAGTACTCCATATGAGGCTGAATTATACTTTCTTTTAACACTTTTTAAAATGTTATTTTGTCTACAGTTTTTGTCCTACAGGCTTTGTTTTTATTCTGCTAATCTATTTTATTTTTTGTGAGGCCAATAGAACTGCTAGTAGCTTTCCTTCAGATTAAAGTTAATGTTACTTTCATATTAGGTAAGCAGGAACTTTCCTAACGTTTTATCAAATAAGCACCAGGAAAAAAAGCATTCCATAAACAGGAACAAAGATTACCTTCTCCTATAATGACAGGAGATAAAAAACATTGTGAAAGAAAGTTGTGAATGAAGGTCACATTACCTATAACAGGGAACAGAATTAAGAGTCTTCCAGATGGAATACAAGATATTAGACTGCATTATCTAAGTGTCCAGGCTTTAACTTTGCAGACTAGCATAAGCAGTATAAAAATGATCCCATTACACAGTTATTAAATTATTCTTGAATTATTTTTTTTTAATTATGAGATGAAATTCTGTTGTTTTCAGCACTGCTAACTAAAATAATGAGTCAGAATCCTGGCGTTGGATTAAAAACCTAAGGATCTTCTTAAAATAGAGAGTATTTTGTGGTTTTATGGTTTTGGTTTGGATTTGGCTTGGGATATTCTCATGGTAAGATTTTTCTTCATATTTGCCGACTTTTCTCTAAAATAATATAAACTTATCTTTACTGCTCAAATATGTTTCTATCTAATATTCCCATGCCTACAAAATCTACAAAATCAGATTCTACAATGCTAAGGAGTGATAGCCCTATTGTATACACAATATGCAGGCGCTGCAGATCATTAAAATTCCATTTCCCCTGCATTCGTCATGGAAAAAAAAAAATAAAAAATGTCTTCTCTAATAGAGCTGTAAATTCTATGCCTTTTTACCAAAGCTTGCTTTAAAGAGTAAACTATTTGAAGTAAAAACATTTGTTTGTGATATAGATTTTTGTTCCTAGCATATCTCAAATACTCACACACAGACACACACACAAACCTTTAGAGATTGCTGGAGTAAGGATTGATGCATATGCTGCACAGACATTGCTATAGTTGTAAAAGACAGATGAAATGGAAAATCTCTGGCCACTGAATACAGAATAGAGAGAATATTTACTCTGTACTTTATGTTGTACTGCTTTAAATATATATAAATAATAGTATAATGTTAACCAAAAAAAAAAAAAAAAAAAAGGAAATTCAGCCAAGTCCAGAAGACTTAGAGAAAACAAACAAACAAACAAACAAGCAGAGATCCAAATGGTTGTCTTAATTTAGATCTGCTCTTCTCCTTCAGTTTATTTTAAAGCTCATATATATTGAGTTTTGAGAGTAGCTCATTCTCTGAAATGATAAAAGCAAAACTATTTTAAAGTCAAAATTTCTTACCAAAAACATAAGATGACTTTTTGGTCTTCTTTTCTATATCCACTTTGACAGCCACCAGCATGCTCTGCTTCTTAGGCAGAGATGAAATGACTAAATATACAGAGGGGTATTTCCTGAGTCCTATCAGAAAGGGAGTAATTTCTGAGGCAAGAAGAGATATTTACAAAGTTGTCTTTTATATGATTCCTCTAAGGACATTTCAGACATATGGTGACATAACCTGAAGAGTATCTGCATGTACCCATTGTAAAACCAGCAGGAAGGACTAAAATGCAGCAACAGATGACAAGTAATTCCACTGAATCTCAGGTCTCCAATTTCTCTACTCAAATCTCAATTCCTAGTCATCTTTCAAGACTGTTAACAAATACCAATTCCATACATGTTTCTCTCCCCCAAATTAACCATCAGTTCCTATATTCCTATTCCAAGTTTCCTGGAATCAGAACACTTCCTTCAACACATACACTTTAATGAGGCTGTCTGAATTTATATTAGTCTATCTGAATTTTTGTCAGACAGATTCTTTTTTCACAAATCCTGGAGGAATCACTGAGAACATTCAGTATCTGCTCATTTTAGGTACCCACCTATACATGATCTACAGCAGCCCAGAGTGACAATTTCAGAAAAAGTCACAGAATCACAGAATCATCTATGTTGGAAGCGACCAAACTCTGACCAGTCCTCCACTAAACCATATCACTACTCTCCACATCTAAACGTCTTTTAAAGACCTTCAGGGATGATGACTCAACCACTTCCCTGGGCAGCCCATTCCAATGCGTAACAACCCTTTCGGTAAAGAAGTTTTTCCTAATATCCAACCTAAACCTCCCCTGGTGCAACTTTAGCCCATTCCCCCTCATCCTGTCACCCTGCATGTGGACCAATCCCCACCTCGCTACAGACTCCTTTAACGTACCCATAGAGAGCAATAAGGTCACCCCTAAGCATCCTTTTCTCCAGGTTGAACAATGCCAGCTCTCTCAGCTGCTCCTCGTAAGACCCCTCACCAGCTTCATTGCCCTTCTACAATATATATGTGGAGAATTTAGCTACCAATTTTTTAGCAAATCTGAGCATGTGTGCAACATCCTTACAGCTAGATCAGACCGTGCTGGATATTAGAAAATTTGAAGAACGGTAAGAAAAAATAAATAATAATAAAAAATCTTGCTGAAGATAAACTCCTTTCCCCACTTTCCTGCTGCCAAAGTCCAGTTTCAAACTATGGTTTCTTGAAGAAGATTCTGTCTGAATGTTTTAACCTAAAGCAATGTTTTTCCTCTATCACATTCTTGGATATGGTTACTTGAAAAAAAATTCAGGTGAAGTAAGCATCCTGCACAGATATTTTCTGCCTTGGTTTGGTGTTCAAAAACATAGCTAAATACATTGAAATGATGAACAGCTGTAAACAATAAGATAGATAAAGGGAAACCTGGTGAATAAAGTATTGGAAAAATATGAAAACTGCAATAGCCTGTGTTGGACACTCTGGTGACAAAAGACAGAATTTTGTTTGCTAGAGGTAGTTAGGCTGCCAGTATATGTCTTTATTAACTGTATAACTCAGCTTTATTTACTATCCACACAGTATCTCCTCATGTAACTCTTTTTTTTACAGACTGACACACACACAGAGTTAATAACAATTTCTTCTCTGTTAGACTTTCTAAAGTTTTTAAAAAATCTGTGAATCAAACCATCAAAAACAGATATTCAATATATGCAGTTAAGAGCAATAGGGTGTCTATAAATTTACTGGAAAAAAAAAATAGATAATCAAATTCAGTTTGTTTAGAGGTAATGGGAATAATGGCCTCAAATGCTGTCCTAACTGAACTTTTACTCTAGGAAGGATTTTCTCTATATAATTATATGTTATAGATATAATATTTATAATTTTCAACAGATGTTTCTCTAATCTCTACTTGAAGACTTCCAGTATTGGAAACATTTCACTTTCCTCACTGTTCCCGTGTTTCAATATTGTTATTAAAAGTTTATCCAAAAATTTAATCTCTCTTGCTCCAAATTAAGACCCCTGCTCTTACTGTCATTCATAATCAATGAGCAAAACAGAATACTTTCTTCCTTGATATCCTAGCTTTGAGGACAATTATGTCCCAAAAGCTTTTCTTCTCTGGGCTAAATACTAATTTGTTCAATATTTCCTTATAGATTTTATTCTCTGGACTGCTGGTCATAATTATTACTCTACTCAAGGCTCTTTTCAGAAGGTCCAACTCATTCCTGAAATGCCTTTTGCAACACAGGAAGCACTATGCCAGCTAGAGCTTTTCCATTTTTGGTTGAGCAGACTTTGCAGGTCTGACAAGCTGCAGTTCTTTTTATATAATCACACATGGTGTGTGTCTTCTTTGCAATAGTGCAAAATGTTTCACAACAAGGCAAAAATTGAAATGTTAATGTTCAGCTTCATAACATGCAGTGCTCTTTCTATCCACCAAACAACTTCTTGCTCACATTTCTGTGTTTGTGTCACTGATTATTCTTGCCCTCGTTACATTATATCTTGCTCCCAGTATTTCTCAGAGTGCAACTGCCTGAACATAACAGGGTACTGGGGTTTCAGTACACCAGACACTTTCTGAATTCCTACCAGGTCCCCTAACCATTTTTATTGCTCTTCTGATCACATTATGCTAATAACCATGAAATTAGTCTTAGGTGCTTCAAATTAAGTTTAAGCACCTAAGTCCACTTGAGAAATACACAAATCTACTCACTTGATTAGTGGTTCATATACACATGAAAGAATAATGTAATCTACCCCAAATTCCCCTAAATTGTAATTTAGGCATCTGATAACTATATGGCAATCCAGTCTACCTATTACATTAACACCATTTTAATACAAATATAATTAGGTTCTTCCTTAATTAGCTGACAGCATTTTATGAAACTAATCTACACATGCTTGTTCAGAAGTGCCTATTATAGGTCTTGAGCTTCTTATTAAGTGTAGAGCCTGTAACTAAAATGAAGGTCTCTGAAAAAGCCTGATCAGCCTTAAGAGTAAGGAGGAGTCAGACTGTAAGTTAGACTGTCTCCTAAACATGCTAAGGAAGGAATTAGTGACACTTTCTTCTTATGAGCCAATAATAATTTAATCAATGTAATTAAATATATATATATATATTACAGCATTACAGTATGACCGTCTTCAGACCAGCTCACTTGCAGTGGAATCCACTCATCCTTACAGACTTTAATTTTCCAGTTAAGGACCTATACTTTGTAGAAGACTAAATCTTTAAAGCCCTTTCTGTTGCCCCAGGGACTAAATTTAGTTTCTTATGTTAGGAGAAAAGGTCTCACCCTTAGGCAAAGTAACACTTAAATTAGTTGAAGTGATCTCCATCATAAAGTTTAGTCACTAAACCAGGTACTGAAATCCTGCCAGAGTACGCATCTGATGAAGGTGCCATTTTTGCCTATGCAGATTTCCTCAGTGCCTGATTTATATTCATGACTATGCTGGTAGCCCCCAGTGGATTAGATTTGAAGATTCTAGTGAAATACAGAAATTGATCAAAGTAGCATAACTAAAGCATTCTTTATTTTCAAAGTTCCTTGCAAACACGAACTAAATCAGGCACCTTCCACATTGTAATTGAAAACCCAAGTGGCAGAGAGCTGATAATCTTTCATTGAAAACTAGTTAAAAGGCATGTGGCTATACACAGTAAATAAATGACATTATCCTTCTATATGTGGAAGCTGAATAAAAAAGAGTTGGACAAAGGAAGGGTGGATTCTGTCATGTTAGATAGTATGAGTTTTATTTCTCTAACAACATGTCTCAGAATGCTTATGAAATTTCAAACACGTGAACCCCATGAAATGGAGAATTAAATTAATTAACTCTTGCCCTAAGTTAATTGCCCGTAATGCTTGGCTTTTACGTCAAAACATCCTGAATATGAAAACTTTGTCTCTGTTGTAATCTGAAATCTTCGTTTGGAAACCACTTCATCCCTTCCCCCAGTTTCCAGCTGTTACTTTTGCAATAATAGTATTTGACATTAAGTAACAAGAAGTAAGCTGAAGAGAGGATGTTAGCTCAGCCAATGTCATATCCAGGTACAAGTGAAATCTGATGCAGACAGCGTAAAAGGAATGAGCTATGAACTGAAGCTGCGTTTTCGTGAATCAGATGCAGACAGAGATATTGATATGACTTCAGCTTCAGAAGACCCAGTTCAGACACTCACAAGACCTTGATTACTTTCTTGATACAAAAATGTGTTATTAAAAAACCCACAAGCTTAAAAATCAGGCTTTTATTATGTTATAAATAATGTTAATATAAAAAAGGATGTTATAAATTCGATGCATGTAGAGAAACTTTGCATTTTGTTTACCTGCTAGAAAAGAACATCCTTAATTTGTTGTTTCCTGGAGCTGTGTGAAATCTATACTTAAATATTGATTGAAAATTTAATTGGCAATTGTAAAGGTAATATTGGGAATGGCAAAAAAATAAAAATAAATAAATAAATAAAAAATAAAGGAACAGCAAAATCAAAAGAACTTCAATAACTATTTGAACATTTCCCATGAAGCTCCTGAACATGAAAAGAAATCTACAGAGGGAAAAAATAGATATGGGATGAAATATGTTTTTAAAAGTATCCTACTTGAGAAGGACCACTTTGAAATATTGAAGGGATTGCATTGTTTGTTTTGAGCTCTTAGAAACTAGAAGCTAACTCAGGATGAATTTTCAAAGTGGTCAGTTTTGAAAGTATTTATAAATCGATGTAATGGTGTATAATTTTTTGCACTACCCAACTTTTTTTTTCACTTTTTTTTTTTAACCCTTTAATCTTTTTATTACCTTCATGTAATATTTAAGAAACAGTTTCTGATCATCAAATGACATAAGAAAGCAACAAAGTAGAAACAGCTCTGCTATGTTAAATGAGAAACCAGTCAGAACTCAGACCCATACAAATGTCTAAGGAGAATATAAGAAAGGACATAATGTAACCACCTTTTGCTAGTTTTCAACCTGTTACTTCATAATTTCATTATTTTTTTTATTAACAGTAGGGTATCATAAAATATTCTCCTAACATAGGGATTAAGGAATATTTAATTT